CAGAGTGATCAGTTTTAGCTGATAATTGATCATAATGATAGGATTAAGAGTCAAAGGAATCACATAAACAAGACCAGTTTCTGCTAATACTAACTGATAGAATTAAAAAGGAGAGAACAATCCAACATGGGAAGTGGGATACACAACAAACTCATAGAATGGCAGATGTCCTAAACAGCACTCTGGGCTCAGAATCAGCCCTTAAGGCATTTGGATCCAGCTAAAAAAGCCCAGGAGAGTATTTTAGGCATGGAAAGCCAAGACACTGTGGCAAAAAAAAAAAAAAAAATGACCTAAATCAAAGATCTCTGTGAATGAGATCCCAGTGGAAAATATGGGCCATCGAAGAAGGAGGTACCTTTCTCTGAAGGGAAGAGAGAACTTCCACTTTGACTGTGACCTTGTCTAAATAAGATTGGAGTCTGTGAACTCAAGAGGCTTCCATAGCCTTGGCAGCTCATGACAAGAGCCTCAGGTGATTACTGACATCATAAATAAGAGTGTCAATTGTTAAATCAACAACGGGAGTCACTGTGCACTTACTCCCTGTGTAGGATCTCTGTCCTTAATGTACTGTACATGGTGATTTAATGCTATAACTAGTACTCAAACAGTACTTTATACTTTGTGTTTCTGTGTGGGTGCAAACTGTTGAAATCTTTACTTAGTATATACTAAATTGATCTTCTGTATATAAAGATAATTGAAAATGAATCTTGGTGCGAATGGAATGGGAGAGGGAGTGGGAGATAGGATGGTTGCAGGAGAGAGGGAGGTTATGGGGGGAAAGCCGCTATAACCCAAAAGTTGTACTTTGGAAATTTATATTTATTAAATAAAAGTTAAAAAAATGAAAATGAATGAATGAATGAATTCAGCCTGTTTATTGGAAGTCTGTTGTGTAAACAGTGTTTGCAACACAGGGATATGACAGAGCTGAGGCCCAAGTCTTGTAGCAAGGGACTCCAGGACCCCATGAGAATGGATTAAGACACGAGCCTTCAGTGTAAAAGAAGAGTGAAGGCTTTCTATTAACAAATGTTCCTGCCACAGTGCCGAAGCTGAGGCACAAGAGAGGCATTGCAGAAATGCAGCAATATTCAGCCTAACTCAAGCCGAGGTGCACCCCAGACAGAGGTTACAAGTCCCTAGGGCAGGGCAGCTTCTGAGAAAGAGAGAAGTATACTACAGGAGCCTGTGGGGATATGAAAGGGAAGGGAGGGAGATGAGACTGAGCAGAGAGCAAAGCTGGCTGTGAGGCGGTCCCAACAGAGAACTCAGCCACCCCTCAACAACTGGGATAGCCTTCGCTGTGGTCCTGAGCTGAGTCAAGGATCATTCACTGGATAAAGCAATCTTGGAAGAAGATGACAGCTGAGGGTTGGCTGTCAACAGTAGTGCCATGGCAGAACAAAACCTTCATTCCAGAAGGCAGATCTGCTGGCTACATTATTATAAGATAGGTGATGCCATTCACCAAGCCAATAACCACTGCAGAGAGTACAAGGCTGGCGATGGCCACAGGGATAAAGACAGGGAGGAAGTTCAGTTTTAGAATGCTGGATGTTGGGGCTGGAGCTGTGGTGTAATGGGTAAAGCTGCTGCCTGCAGTGTTGGCATCCCATATGGGAGCCAGTTCGAGTCCCAGCTCCTCCACTTCCACTCCAGCTCTCTGCAATGGCCTGGGAAAGCAGTGGAAGATGACCCAAGTCCTTGGGCCTCTGCACTCATGTGGGAGACCCAGAAGAAGCTCCTGGCTTCTGGCTTTGGACCAGCGCAGCTCTAGCCATTGTGGCCATCTGGGGAATGAACCAGTGGATGGAAGACCTCTCTCTCTCTCTCTCTCTCTCTCTCTCTCTCTCTCTTTCTTTCTCTCTCTCTCTCTGCCTTTGCCTCTCTATAAGTCTGCTTTTCAAATAAATAAATCTTAAAAAAAAAGAATGCTGGATGTCATGCGTTGTGGCTCATGGCAGTGATGAGCAGTTGTTCCTGTAGAATTGCAAGACTGGTGGGAGGTTGACGCAGGAAGGTGACTGCAAGGCATGTCCTGAGGAGCCTTGTAAGTCATGAGAGGAGCTTTGGACTTCCCCTAAAAACAACTGAGGGGCCGCTGTGGAGGCTGCTTAGGACAGTGATGTAACAGAAGGCCTGTGCATCCAGGTGACTCCACGGCAGAGGTCTTTACTTAGAGTGGGAAAGGAGACTGAAAACACGAGATTGGAGGAGGGGGAGTGTTCGGAGGCTACTGAAGGAATCCAGGAGAGACAGAGAGAATGAGAACCAGTGACTGTGGAGGCCTAAATAGTGCCCTGACTATAGGATTGGAAAACTATCGATAAATCTGAGAGAAATTTTGGTCACAGAAAGGATTAAACAAGCATGTCGATTGATTTGATGGGAGGGTGTGAGAAGGATTGTGAAAGCTTCTTTAATGGTTGATGGTGAGGCCATTCACCATGCCAAGGACCACCAGAGATGGTCCAAGGCTGGGGGCCACCAAGGAGAGGTAGACCTTAAGCAGCTCGGATTTAGAATTGTGGATGTTATGTGTTGTGGCACATCCCCATGGTAACAGGTTTGTCATACCTGCGTGTCAGCAGCTAACAGGAAAAATGTTACTGCAGATAGGTTTGCCTTTAACTCCAAAACAATAAATGATCCAGCAGAAAGAATGAAATCTCCAAGAGAAAGCTATGGAGTAGGAAAAGCTCATGTAGGATAGAATCTAAAAGACAGTGTCCTAGTCTGGGCTACTTTAAGAAATACCTTGGATTGGGTAATTTATCAATGACAGAATTTATTGCTCAGTTATGGAAGCTGGAAGTTCAAGATCCAGGCACTGGCAAATCTAGCATTCAGTGTAGCCTTGCTTCCCATAGATGGCACTTTCTAGCTATATCTTTGCATTGAATAGGGACAAATGCTCTGTCCCTTCATGGCAGAAGGCATGCAAGGGACGAGGACACTTACTTCTGAGATCATGCTGCATAATACCATCATACTGGATACTAAGTTTGAACATGAATTTGTGAGGGGGTCACCAATGTTCAGGCCACAGTAAAATGCCAACACTCAAGGAAGGGACAGAATGAGGGCAGGAAAGGAGAGAGTCACTAAGGGTGATACGGGAAGAGCAGCAAAGAACTAGGATGGAAACCCACAGAGAAAGAGTGAGAACCAGGTGACACAGAGCCCAAGAGCAGGTGTGCCTTCTCTCGGCACTGGCAACAGGGAGACGGAGTGCAACACGGCCGGATCACAGCACTCAGGGAGAGGAAGGACAGGGACTATCTTTGGTCTTAGTGCTTGTGTCCCCTCACAGTCCATCTTTCAGCAGCCAAGACCCAAGGTCATGGCATCAAGAGGCGGGGCCTTAGGAAGGCAACTGCATCAGGAGGACACTGGCCTTGTGGGTGGGATTAGTGACCCTCTAAAAGGGCTCAGGGAATGGGAGAGCCCTCTCGCCCGTCTGCCTTGTGACACGTGATGACACTTGGCAGGTGAGCAACAGGGTGCCTCAGTCTTGCACCACACAGCCTCTAGCTCTGAGAGAAATGAGTCTCTATTTACAAATTACACAGTCCCAGGTATATTATTACAGTGGACTGAGTCTTGCTGTGCCTTCAACATGCAACCATGGTCAGGAAGACTGTCACGGGCGGTCATCTTAGGTTGTCTATGGCACAGAAGGAAAAGCCAGGAGGACATGGTCCATGGAAAGACCTTCAAGAAGGGCCCCAAGGGCACAGGGTCTGGAGCATGAGCAGCAGGGTATGGCAGGTGTTTGGCTAGCTGTTAACACACCCACATCCCAACGCTGGAGTGCATAGGTTCAATCCCTGCCACCAGCTCCTGACTCCAACTTCCTGCAAATGCAGGCTCTGGGAGGCAGAAGAGATGGCTTTAAGTAATTATGTTTCTACCATGCATGTGGAAAACCTGGATTTCACTGTTAACATTTGGTTCCAGTTCCAGCCCAGCCCAGACAATTGGGGAATTTGGGCAACAAATCAGCAAATGTAAGCTTTCTCTATCTCTCTGTCTGTCCCTCCGTGTCTCTGTGCATCTTAAATAAATAATATTTTAACTTAAAAATATGTTACAGGGTTGGAATTAACCTCAGCAGGGTTTGTAGAAAACAAAAGGGAAGAGGAAGGGGCACCACTGTAGGCAGACAAAGTTTGTAGGTGGAGGAGCAGGAACTGCCAGGGTTTCCCATGAGACAGTTGGAGGTGAGTGCAGTCAGTCGTGGTAGCGAAGAAGGGGTGGCATTGGAGTTGGAGACTGGGAAGGAGCTTTGGATTTGTGGTGAATGAGAAGACTGTGAACTATAGCCTACTGCTCCTGATACTTAAATGATGACATTTTTTCCCCTGATTTCATGCTCACCACTGTTTGGAGGTTAACTTCCTGGTAGTTTTCTCAATGTAATTTTTGCAGCTATTATTACAGGAAAAAAAAAAAAAAGAACTACACTGGATGGTATTGTGTATTCTGGTCCACAGCCAAGTTTTGTTTTTGTTTTTTATTGTAAATGGGTACTTTTATGGGTTTGTCTTATGCCCTCAGGGATGGTGATTTTTGGTTCCAGGTGAACGCGATGACTGTGGGGGGTAGGTTTTCTGGGCCAGGGGCAGTGGGGCTGTACAGCTTCACTGTGCCCTCTGGGAGAGGCCAGCCAGGTGTCATCTGTCTTGATTTCATTTGTTCTCTGATTTGCCATTATCAATTACAGGACATGCCTGAAACCAGAGTCACACCAATAGACAGAAGTACCCCAGGAAGACACAGACAGCAGCTTAGGGCACGTCTCAATAATAAGAAAGGGACATTTTTGGTTTCAAAAAATATTGTAAAACTCAGGTACTGACAGTCATGGCCAGCATCTTCTCTCTGCACCGATTCATCCCCTGGTTTCCTGTTTACTAAGCGTTTCTTGATCACTCACTGCGATCTGTGATGAGCACACGGGATCAATCTTCTCCCTGTACTTCCCACAGACGAGTGCCACCAGGAGGAGATGCGGAAGAGGGGCCAACAGGACAGAACCCGACAGAACAGCACAGAACAGCCAGCTGTGTCGCTGACTTTTCTCCCATGACTCAATCCAAACGCTGAACAGCTGACAAAAGAAAGTAACCAAAGGCCTGCGCTATATTTACAAGAGCAAACAACAGGATGGCACCAAAGAATCTTTTCCAAAGGAAATCATGCTTCTTAGAAATAAATAAAAATACCTTAAAGTTGAGCAATGCATCAAGGAATTGCTGTCTTTAATGTTTGACTTGAAGGAACAGAAGAGAGTAAGTGACAAATGCAGATCTCAATGGTAAGGAAAGAAGCTGAAATAATGAAGCAATACAAACATCTGGAGTGGGATTCTACCATAAGAATTTACTGCATCTTCAGGAATATTGTAACAAGGTCTGTAGATCGTAGGCTTAAAAGAAGTCACAAAGGAGCATATAATGCAAAAAAAAAAAATACTCATTTTACCGTATTCCACGTGGAGTTCTGGCAAGAAAAGAGAAACAGAGAAGACAAAAGAACTCAGAAATTCTACTTAATAGGAAAGCTAAATCTTTTTTATTGTTATGTATTCTACATACACACAAACACAAACAATGACAAATTCCATCTGTAAACAAATCCCCAGAGGGGTAAACCTAGTTGCCCAGAGCCCTTGCAACAGCAGAAGAAAAGAGACAGACAGACAGACAGACAGACCGGGGCTTGCAGGTGTAGAACTAGCCATGCCCTTGCTGCTCTTGTGTGCAGCACTACTTTGTTGTTCTGGCTCCAAACTGTCGCAGAAACACTCTGGGAAAGGCGTCGAGTCACTTCCCTCAGTGCTTACTCACAAGCCCATACAGCAGCAAGCGTTTCTTGGCACGGTTTAGATAAGGAAATAGTGAGGTGGTGGGGCGGGGAGGAGTTGGGGGCGCGCTGGAAATACAAACAGACTTCAAGAAGCTGTTGGAAAATGGAAGTAAGAAAAATTTTTTAATGTAAGTCTTGTCTGTCAACATCAGCTCTATCAGTTCGAGACACTTCTGTGAGCTCTGATACTAGCCATTGAGCCCATCCCTGAAGATGTGAGGTCCTGGGAACTTGGCCAGCTCTTTCTGCAAGATTACCTGAAGAAAAATGGGTACATTTCAAAGACTTTTTAAAACTAAAAAACAAGAAGCCAGCAAGAGTCAAAGCAGGACTGTTAGGAGAATGCCTGGTGGTTTCCAGCTGAAACTCTGATGAACTTCCCTGGTTCGATGAGGAATGAGCAGGAGGGTGGTTGTGGTGGACAGGGACTCTCTGGTCAAAATTTCCTGAGCACACTTTCAAAATAAGTAGACATCCTAGTTATCTGGGCTCCAGAAAGTCAAGAAGCAAAATGCCTTGAGCATTCCGTAAAGCTGCTGCTGTAACCTCTGGGGCCCATCAGGCAGAATGTTCGTTCAGCTTTAATCCATCAAATTTGCACAAACTGAAGATGGGTACTTAGCCTAGCAACTAAGGTGCCTGCTTCCCACATCAGAGGGTCTGGGTTCAATTCTAAACTCTGGTTTCTGACTCCAGCGTCCTGCTAATGCAGCCCCTGAGAGCAGTCGCGACAACCCAGGCACCCTGCCACCCATAAGGGAGCCCTAGGTTGCACACCTGGCTCCTGCCCAGCCCCAGTTGCTGCAAGCATTGTGGGAATGAATCAGCAGACATCTTTCTGTGTCTGAAATACATAAATAAAATACTTTAAAAAGGAATTGTGTAAGTGAACCAAGTCTGTCTGTGATGTTGGCTACTGTTTCTGCTGTTAATCATTGGTCCTTTTCCTTTAGAGCATGAAAGAGAGTAATTTCTTCCCTCCAAGTGGATGTAGATCGGCTGCTGCAGGTGTCATCTTCAACATCATCGTATCCTTTCTTAAAATGAGTTATCCATTTGTAAGCTGCCGACTTCCTTGGGGCATTGTCCATTCTTCCAGTGAAGCCTCGGCATAAATTCAACGTTTGTTCTTGCTCTAATGTGAGTAGAACTCATGTTGTTCTGATAGGGCTTCTTTTCCAACTGATTTCTTATCCTTCTAAGAATCTCAAACTAGATCCTGTTCAGACACGTTATTACAAGGTAGGGTGAGTTTATATTGGCATAAAAAATATTGAAACCTACGCATATTTTTCTAAATACTACATACTTTTCATGACCTTTTTGAAAATACCTTATAAAGAAAGTAAAACACTTTTAAAGACTTATTTACTTATTTGAAAGGCAAAATGACTCAGAGAGAGTAATAGACAAAGAGACAGAGACAGAGATCTTCCATTCACTGGATCACTCACCAAATGGCTGCAACAGCCAGATTTCAACCAGTCTGAAAGCAAGAGCCAGGACCTCCACATCCTGGTCTCCCACATGGGTGACAGGGGCCCAGGTCTTCGTATCATCTTCTGCTGCCTTCCCAGGTGCATTACAAGGGACCTAGATTAGGAGAAGAGCAGCCAGGATTCAAACCGGCACCCCAATATGGAATGCTGGTTTGCGAGTGGCAGCGTAGGTTGCTGTGCCACTGTGCCTCAGAATTCATTATTGTCTGAGGGTTTTGATGCCACACTAGAAACAGAAGGCACTGTTATTAACTGTCACTTTGATTCAGGAAACACCAACCATGGGCCAGTGCTGTGCCATGGTACTTTAAGCACTCAGCTGCAGTTCCAGCAGCCCATATGGACACCAGTTCGAGTCTGGGCTCCTCCACTTCCAATCTAGCTTTCTGGCCTGGGAAAACAGTGGAAGATGGTCCAAATGATTGGGCCTCTTCCCCAATGTGGGAGACCTGGAAGAAGCTCCTGGCTCCTGGCTTTGGATCAGCCCAGCTCCAGCTATTGAGGCCAAACCAGCAGATAGAAGACCTCTCTGTCTATCTCTCCTTCTCTCTGTCTATAACTCTGCCTCTCAAATAAATTAATAAATCTTTTTAAAAAAACAACTATCTGTGTACTTAACTAAAATGAATAACTTTTTAATTATGATATGATAGAACATCTTATTTTTCTTTATATATTAAAAGTATATAGCTTTATTATTGAAAAGTATTGATTACCTAATAATGGAAAAGCAGAAATTTCTACCAGAACAACAAGAATCAGAACACTTCAGACTTGAACCAGCACTCCAACATCAGACACGAGGGTTACAAGCAGAGACGTAACCCACTGTGCCACAACACTGGGCCCAAAACAAAATTTATTGCACACCTATGAATCCTAACTTATAAAGGACATTTTACACATATACAGCCAGGTGCTACATGATAGTGCTTTGGCCATCCAAGCGTCCCATGAGATCACACCATGTAGTGACTCTGTGCCCTTCTAAGCCTATGGAAGTAACTCTGTGATATTCACACAACACTGGTACATTTGTCAGAAAGTATCCTCCGTGTTCAGAGGTGCTACCTGGAAGTGCTTAAGCCCAACAACCCGATGAGGCAACAACTCCTCCCATTTTTCAGGAAATAGTGCTAGAAAAATTACAAATTGTCCACATAGGCAGTGGAGCTGAGTGTCCATCCACAACCTGATGACTTGGAGAGGATGCCCCCCAGGAGGACTGGGCCATGCCAAGTCATCCTTCTGTAGAGACAAACAGCCAAGCCTGCCAGGCCTGGAGACTAGAAGTCAGCTCCAGTGGCAGGTGGGATTTGTCTCAGCTAGGAGCCCATGGAAACCTCACACTCAAGTCTCTTTGTCTCATGACTCACAGACAGCATAATCATCACTACACAGGTCACTTGACTTCATAGGAAATCGCATACTTTGTTGACTGCACCACACTGGAGACCCACATGGAGGCACAACAGGCAAACTGTCACTCTCCAGAGTGGTCACACCTCCTCCGGTCACCATCAAACCCTTCTTGTTCTCCACGTGTCTGGATCCCCAGGATGTGTAGCACAAACTCCACGGCAGCAGAATCTTATTCACTCCTGTGGCACTGGGCGTTAGTTAGCTGCCTCTGTTAAAGAAGATATTTAATAAATATTGAGTGAGTGAGGATGGCTCTTGGAATTGGACACTGTGACCAGAAACTCGATGCTTAAGTGTCTTCAGTTTCCCAGGTGTGGATAACACAGTACAGAGAAGATCTGTAAAACTGAACAGATCAGGATTTTACTTTGGGGGGTTTAATTTCTCTTGCCCTTGAGCGATCCTATTGATAGTGCTAAGCCCCAAGTTGTCTGGCTTGTGAGGTTCTGGGTGGGTTTTAAATCTGCTTCACCCAGGACATCTGTCAGTCTTGTTTTTGAAGGCAGGCTCATTTTCAGAGCTCAAATACTAAAGCTAATGATATAAACCCACATTGAAAGTAGAAGCAAATGTCCCCTTTCCTATTTCACTCAGAAGTGAGCTGAGCTGCAGTTGTGGGGATGTCTGACATTGCAACAAAGTAGGCAAAGCACACAAAGGGAGGCCTACGCAACTAAGGGGCCTTTTCAGGTAGAGCCCAGCCTGGAAACTGCTCGTGTCCAGCTAAGAACATTTGTGATCCATGAAACCCCTTGCATTCTTACTGCATTGCACAGATCTCAGACAAACAGGGAGAGGAGCCAGCAAATTTAGCAACCAGAGATGTTTCTCCTGCTGAATCCATTACTATAGCCAATGTGTATGCAAAACACAATGGAGGAAGGAAAACCTCTTCAGAAACCTGATGAAAATAGGGGCTGGATGCAAACATTTAGGCAATCACCTGAAGGCCTAGCCCCTCGGTGTCGTGGTCAAGGCCATCGGGGACAAGGACCCCGGTGACTTCTCCAGACTCATCCCTCACTGCTCATGCCCCACCTTGAACTTCTCTTTCCTCTTCCACAACTCAGCACACAGTCCCTTCTCGGCTGACTCCTAAGTTCAGCGAGTTCAGTGGCCTGATAGGTCAACCTAAGAAACCATCAGAGTTGGTTCTCTAGGGACTACTTGGATTAGCAGAGTACAGGAGTGCCCTCATGAACTATACACGCATTCAAGAAGGTTGAGGCAAGGGGAAGTTTCTAAAGCAAAAGTGGGGATTATGTAAGATGTTGAAACAACCATCCTTGGCCACAAGGATCAATAACGAGAGTGATGCCAGTCGCAGGCAGAAGTGCTGCTGGTGTGAGGCTACAGTGGCCTTTTGCAAGGCTGAGGGTCGTGGGTCTGGCAGAATCTTCTGTGGTAGTTACTGTCAGGCCATCGCTGTGAGAATCCTTCCTTCACAACCTCTGGCTTGGTGGAAGCATTTGTGCCCTCACAACCTCCCGGCTTCATGTACTTCTGGCTTCTGTGAGAACTGACACAAGCAGCGCCCGTTAGACAGCCTTAAGGGATTCTCAGGGCTCACACAGACGGGAACGGTTAAGATCACGGTAATTAACCCAAGTGCCTATTAGTTCACAGGCCTGCAATAAACCTTTGGTAAATAAGCAAGTGTTAAATTTGTTGACACGTCAAAAAAAAGACGTCTTCAGAATTGAAGGCATATGTTTTTGCCTGGCACAGTTGGCCAGACAGAGATGTCTGCTAGATGTTCAAGGTCATTAAAGTGTAAGTTTGCCCCAAGAACCAACATGCAGATCACAGTGCAATGCCACGTCCGTCGCTTCCTATGGACCGAGAACAGCAGCTTAACTTTTCAGGGTTTTTTTTCATAAGAAAATACCTTGAAATGATGGCCATGTTTGTCTGATGTCTTAGTTTTCATAAGTTACCTAGGTAAAACTGAATAAAATAAATAAATAAGTGTAAGTGGGATAAACGTTTATAAATATAAGAAACTTTACAGTTATGATAAATTTAAATAGTATACATAAAACATCTGAGTGGGTTCTAAATAAGTTAAAATAGTGAAACATAACTGTTAAATAAAAACTCATTTCCTCTTGACTGATTAAATTCTATGGAGAAGATAATATGCATACCGGGTCTATGAATAAACATCAGCTGTTCTAGACATAAATTCTAAGATTCTGAGATCTTCTGGGTTCCTCTGATCTATTTTTCTCTTTGGGATGGAAAAGAACAAGTGCTGCTCTTTCCTAGGGCCCTGGAAGTTGAAGCTGGACAAGTAAGCGTAAATAGTGTCCTACTGGCATGTGAGCCACACCAAGAGTGTCCACTGCCCGATGCCACAGCCAGAGACACTGACGGTGCCGGGATGAGCAATGGTGTCAGAACAAACCTCCAACCCACGCTGAGACTCGCGCCCAGCCCAGGGGTTCCTTGCCTGTGCCTGTCTTTTTCACTTCACACAACAATGGTGTGATTTCAGCAACAGCTACTGTGGGAAACTTGGCAGAAACTGACCTGAGCAGTCCTCTAGTGGGGATCTTTCCCAACCTCATCCCTGGGGCTTTCCCCTCAAACTACACCTGTGGCTCCTCTCTAATACTCCCTTAATTCAAGGCTCTCTGGAGATATAGAATGATAACACTACTGGAGATGATTTATTGGCTAAGTAAGAAAACATCTATGCTGTTGCTAACACTACATGCTGTGCCTAGATAAATCCTTCTGGGGATATTAAGAATCAATTACAAGCAGAAAGAGAACCCTCAACAACTACAGCAAGCTCCACCTAGTTCCCTTGAGCCATTTCAATCATTCATCCTCTCACTTTCAACCTTATTTTCTTGGTTCAAAACTATTACGCAGAGGCTGGTGTTATGGCATAGTGGGTTAAGCTGCCTGAGGTGCCAGTATCGCATAGGGGTGCCAGTTTGAAGCCTGACCACTCCACTTCTGATCCAGCTCCCTG